CTTCCCTGTTACAAAGAAAGCACCACTCCCTTATACCGCCAGTCTTGCTTCTAGTAGCTGCTCATGCCTTTAATCATGTATAGGAGGAAAAATTGGTGAAAATCCATGGAGTGTTTGCAAACGCTCAGATATTGCTAAGGTGTTAAAAACAGATTCTGGAGCGATATGTAGGTGATAATGATGTGTCAACAACAATATAAAGAATGATAACTTTGCTCCACTGGAGTAAATAGCAAGACAACAGCAAATATTACAGGGATCAAAATTCCATCATAATTTTGTTTGAAATAAACATAGCAGAATAATTGATTGTGGCACCACAGAGAGAAAATGCCCTGGTTCAAATCCTTCTCAGGGCCCGTGTAATCATCCATGAGTGCACTGATTGTATGATCTATTATTTTCAAATGGGGGAGAGATATGCACTGGCTGTGCTTTGTATGATTTTGGAAGCTGAGTGCATGGGCAGCATAATTGTGCACTATTTTCTATCTTCCACATAGGGGCACTGGACTGTACAGTTAACACCTTCACACAATCCCAGCCAAGGTATGAGCCAGCCAGAAGCCCTGCTCATTCCTGTGGGCGATCTTGTTCTGGCAACTGAACGAGAGAAATATATTTGAATACAATTCACCATGGACAGGCTTAAAAGACTGTGTGAGAAGATGAAAGTGTCCCTATATGCATTAGCATAAAACTTTAGATGCTAATTGGGGGATGCTTCTGGATGAATGAAGCATCCTAGCAGTTCACTTTTTTAGCTTTTTGTGGAATGAATTATGAAAAATTAAGTAAGTAGTGCTCTAAGTGCTTGAAGAATTCTCTCCATGTAGAAGAATACAATGACTGTTCTTTAAGCAGACATGTTAAGTTCTTTCAAAGCCCCAAGAAACTAAGGTCTGAATAGGCAAATGAAGTGTCTGAAAAACAGACAGCAGTTAAGAGTTTATAATTTCTTCTGTGGTTGAATACAGCCCCTTTGATTCTCTAATGTTATTTTTAAAGAGCATGGTCTCATTTATGCAATCATTAATAAAATCAGGAGTCCACAGTCTGGCCATCATACAACAAGGAGTAATGGACTCTAGAAGTCTGCGCACCTTTCCAAAACAGCACATCTAATTAAACATGGAAATGTAGGACTGGTTAAAAAGCTCAAGTGGTTGTAGTGCATTATAAGGAGCTGTGATTCCTAAACAGAAATATGAAACCTTTTATTAAAATAAATAATATCAAAGTGAAGTTTCTCATTGGCTGGCCAAGTGTAGGAGAGATTTCAACTGACAGCTACTGAATTGGCCAAAAAGCTTCAGTTACTGAGCAGTATAGAAATGAAATGAACTGAACTGAACTGAAATGAAATGGATTAATGGATGAATTTTAAACAGGCATGCTGATCAGAGGTTTTAAATGGCCCATGTGGGAACTAAATTCAAGGCTTGAAATTGTTTGCCACTTCCCTGTTTGCCGCTCCTGGCTTCTTGTTGGATTCAAAGATTCTGACACTGTCAATTAGAAAGTGGGATATGAACCACCACACTGTAAAATGCCTCAGCCCATCTAATTACGTCTCAACTAATTTCACATTTTGGACCATTCAGTTATCTGTAGAAATGTGCAGTTCTCCAAAGTTTGCAGTGGAATTCCCCAGCCAGAAATGCATAAGAGTGCACTTATTATGGAAAACACATTTTAGGTTTATGTAAGTAGCTAGCAAAAAATGTACATTAAACAGAAATAATTATAAATAAGCATGTATTAAGAAAACAGTACAAAATGACTGTATTTTCATGTAGACTTTCAAAATCTTAATGTTCAAGACAAACTGAACATAAGACTAGGGAAATCAGACACCAAAATCTAGAAACTTTTCATCACTATATGCATCTCCTTCTAGTTTTCATATAAAAGCTGTGTGAAGATGGATGTGCACAAGTGGTTCTGGTTTCAGTAATGAAGCCAATAAACTGATGCTGAATCCAGACGAGACAAGACAGAAACTTCCTTGTAGAGATGAGGGAAGTACACGTGGCTCTGGATGGGAACATGCTACTTCTGAAGGTTCAGGTAGCCCAGATCCATCATTGGAGGCTGATACGTCTTCCATGGTCTGGTGTGTCATATCTGCCAGACTCAGCTGTGGTATAGCTGATAGTGCAGCTGGATGTGGATAACCTAGCATCAGTGGTGTGTGCTTTGGTAACCTCTAGATTTGATTGCCGCAGTGAGGCACACATTGGGCTTCCTTCGAAGATGTTTGGAAACAGTCAGTAGTGCAGAAAAGCAGTGAGGCTGCTAACTGGAACAAGGTGTTTTGAATATATATGTTTGCTGTGATAGCCTCCTCCCCAATATATGGAAGGCGCTGTCCACAAACATTGGCAATATATTTTACTTTTGGCAACTGGCAAGCACTTGTGGCTTGTCTTCGTAGTGTTCTTTCTGGGCTGTATATGTATGGATAATATTTGGGTGTTTGCATGTATTCCTGATGAACACTGTTAGCAGTGTCATGCTTCTAGAGTCTCATTGCATTTATATTTATATTGTGTTATATTGATTGTGGTTTATACTGGTTTGTCTTCTTTGTTATGTTGATTATGGATTTCTGTATCCTTTCTTGTATAAGTCATTTCAAAAATGAACACTGTTTTTGCAGTGGGAAGCAATGCATTGTTATTTAATCTGTTTTGTGCACCAGCTAGGTTGTATTTTCTGCAGTCATAATGCCACAAACATAGTAAAGTATTTTGCATGAGCATATTTTGATTAAGATGGTAAGACCACTCAAAAAGTAAACAGTGTTTGAACAAAAGCAGAGTATAAAAGCCCATAATGCTAGTATACTCACATACTGCAGAGCCCACTTCTTTATGTGAAGGTTTTCCCATCAAAGGGTCAGTCCAAGTTTTATCCTTGCTCACTTGTTCAAGGGGTCCTTAATTCAGTGTCAAAAAAAAGGGGGGTGGGGGAGGCCCTGGTTCAGTTTTGAATTCAGGAGACTCCAAAGTAACATAGAAACAGAGCGAGTCAGAAGGGGTCTCCTGAGTCATCTAGTGTGACCTCCGGCACCAGCCGGCTCCGTGCACAGCATGCCCACCATGTGGACGTCCAGCCTATCCTTGAACACCCACACTGATGGGGCCTCAACCACCTCCCGTGGAAGCCCATTCCACACCCTCGGGGTCCTGACTGTCAGGAAGTGCTTCCTGGCATCCAAATGGAACCTTGGCTCCCTGAGCTTTGCTCTGTTGGAGCGCGTCCTGCCTTCCTCTGCAGGGGAGAACAGGTCTCTACCCATCTCCATATGACATCCCCTCACATACCTGCATGTTGCCAACATAACCCCTCTGAGTCTCCTGGCTGAAGAGACCCAGTTCCCTCAGTCTCGCCTCATACCCCATCCCCTGCAAACCAGCCACCAACCTTGTGGCCCTACGCTGCACTGACTCCAACCTGGCCATATCCTTTCTGTAATGAGGGGCCCAAAACTGAGCACAATACTCCAGTTGCAGGCGCACCAGAGTCATATAGAGTGGCAGTAATACCTCTCTTGATCTAGAAGCCACACTTCTGGCTATGCAACCAAGGGTGGTGTTCATCCTCTTAACCACCGCATCACTCTGCTGACTCATGTTTAGCCTGCAGTCAACCAGCACCATGAGGTCCCTTTCACAAGTGCTGCTCTCCAGCCACCTGTCCCCTATTATGTACTTATGACACCTATTCCTATGCCCCAAGTGCAAGACCTTGCACTGACCCACATTGAACGCCATCCTGTTGTCTCCTGCCCACTTCCATAGTCTGTCCAGAACCTTTTGGATCTGGAGTACCTGTTCCTCAGTTGCGACCATTGCTCCAGTTTAAGTGTCGTCTGCGAATTTGATCAGCAGACTGTTCACCCCTTCTTTCATGTAATTGATGAAAAGATTAAACAGGATCGGCTCCAGGAAAGGGCCCTGGGGGACCCCGCTTGTCACTGGCCACCATCCCGAAGATTCCCCACTAATGGTTACCTTCTGCTTTCAGTCAGTCAACCATGCCCTAATCCACCGGACAGTGCTTTGATGTATCCCAAAACGCCTCAGTTTCTTCACCAGGGTATCATGGGGCACTTTGTCAAAGGCCTTGCTGAAATCCAGGTATACCACATCCACTGCATCCTCTCCATCTAGCCATCTCAAAACCTTGTCATTGAGTAAACTTAATATCTCCACTTAGAAGGATATAAAAGCATTTGTAGCTGCCCAGAGAACCTTTGGGTTATGGGGTAGCATAGAAATGGAATGAAATAAATAATAATAAATAAAAGAGCTGGATCTTTCCCTGAGAGTCTGGAAAACTGCTGCCAGTCAGAGCAGGGAGTCATTAGATTCATCAGCCTATATTCTTTGTTCATGATAAGGTAGCTTTTATATACTGTTGCTTAAACACACTGTCTGTTCGGTGCTTAATTGGTAGTGCAAAAGCAGTAGGGAGTAGATGCACTCCATCTTTCATTTGTTTCTGTTGATCTGGCCCAGAAAGGTTATTTCTGTGCCAGCAGAAAAGGATATTTCCTTTTTGCCATAGTGCCATACATCACCAATTGAAACGAGAAGTGATTGCAGTACAGTAAATGTGTGACAGCATCAAAGAGGTGAGATTCACAGGGTAAAACCAAAAATCCTAAGAGATGTTGGAAAATCAAGAGATTTGTAAAATTTACTATGCCCCAGACTGACACTTCAAAAGTAACTAATTCACTTGGAAACAAATCCATTCGACCAGTTTGCTCTACAAAGAGAATTAGAGTCTCGGTCATATTAAACCCACAAGCCACATAAACCTTTTGATGGATTTGCAGGCATTTTATTTAGCAGTCAAAGAAATCAGCGAAGTATTTGACCAGAGAGGAACTTGGATGTGGGCATCATTTTCTGAAGGTTGCATGAGAACACAGCACATTGTCTTGCTGGGAGCGATGTGGCTATCTCATTCTTTTTCTCTTATTGTAGGGCAACCCTCTGTACTTCCAGTCTGCTCGGAATGTTACAGTGAACATTCTCAATGAGGAGAGTAAAGTTCTTACACGTCTTGTAACAGGTAAGGTTAAGAAATGCCCGAGGAAGGAATAAAGAAGACAAAAGGGGAGCTTTGTGAAGGGTACTGTGCAATCATTAGCCCTCGGGATAATCATCACTAGCACCCTCGTACAATACAAGCCGTGACTCTGCTTGGCCCTATAAAAATAGACGATAAGAACATTAGAACTGAAATGGAGAAGCAGCTGACTATTGTGGGCTTCTAATAAGGAAGCAGAACATTATTTTCATTTGAAAGCAAACCCTGAGACAAAAGGTCACTTGTACAAGCACCAGCTCTGGAAGAGAATTGTCATTTTGATGTTTCATTTGTAACGGCCACAAAAATATCCCTGGACACTTGAAACTTGCCCAAGATGACTGGCACTTTTATTCATCAATATTCACAGCACAGAAATGCTCAGTCTTCCAAAAACCCTAGAAAAAGAATCCCTTGTGCTGATAAGTACCGTTTATGTTCACGAAATGCTGAGCTTCATGTTTGACAGGGAAATGGATGCTTCTGAAAATCCCCAGGAGATGCGTTGCCTTTGAGCACAGGCATGCTTTTGCAGCAAGAGGGTCTACACAAAAGAAAGCGGCAAGAAGGGGAAGCAGTTTAACACAACGGCACCAGCAATCAATCCATAAACATGCTGTTGTGTGCAAATGGAGATTTTCTGGCTTGTTTATATAACACCTGGCTGCTAGCCAGCAGGCTAAATAATTAAATAAACCGTTTCAGCCAGGAATTATTATTTGTTGCATGCATGAAAATCGCCTTAAGGAGAGGAAATAAATTCAACTCTGAATTCACTCGCCAGATTCTCATGTTCACAAAGAAGCTTGTTGAGCTAGTGCAAAATAGAATTTAGCAGCAGGAGCAGTTTTGCATCACAGAGACTTTGTAAATGGAGTAGCTGGAGGACCGGAGTAGTTTGTCAGACTTGCAACTGCAGCTAGACAGGCAAGAAGTTCCCTGGAGATGCAATGTTTGCTTCTGGACTTAAGTATTGCACAATTTTGCCACCCAGATATTCTGATCCAAGAATCAGAGGTGAAGCATGATAGTTTAGGGGCTGCAAAATAGATAAGGCCATATTTATTCTAATAGCATGTGACCTTTCAGTTGCCGAGAGTTATTCTGTTTGGCTTATCAGACAAGCAAGTAAGTGTTCTCTGAGTAGAAAAAAAATTGCAAATAAAAAATATTGTAGCTCCTTGCATGGACCAAGATTCTCTGCACTAATCAATAACTGTGTGTGTGTCTCTGGATGCCACTACAACTATTTGAGCTGCTATGGCTTGCAGCATGTTTTGGGCAGCACAGGTGCCCATTCTGAAATCCCCACGCCCCCATAGGTTGTTGTATTGTCCTAACCTTGCAAGGGTAGGTTGCTGGGATGGTTAACAGATCAGCCAAAAACCTAAACAGTGCAGAGGTTGTGGGTTGTTTGTTAACAGTGTGAACAACCCACACTTGCAAAACTCAGTCCTCTTGCTGGACTTTCACAGGACAGTGAAAAATGAAAGCTGCCCAGACACAGAAAGAATCCAGCCTGTTTGATGTGTATCCATGCGCAGATTGACAGTGAGCAGATAACTATGCGTATATGTGCATTGGTTTTTAGCGTGCCATAGGGAACACTTCTCAAAAATTCATCCACGTCGAAGAAGGTAACTCAGAATTATGTGTGTGTACCTATGGCTTGCGTTGGCAGTCAGCCTGATATGGCACCGGTGGCATGAAGTCAATGCAAACAGTGACTGCCATGCCAGAGGGGGTAATGAGAACGGTCTCTGAATCTTGAGGACGTTCTTCAGACAGCACAGCATGGCTGGAGAAGCACTTGCATGCATGCAAGTTAAAAGGCCACACTTACTAAGATATAATGGCCCTTGGGTTGTCATCTCTTGTTGCTTTTGAGAAAAGATACCAGCTAGAAATAGACTAAAACCCTGTGACATTTGCTATGAGTAATAAACACTACTAATAAAATTGCACTTGCTTGCGAATTACTTAATTGTTTCCAATCCTAACCTTTGCTTTGGTGGTAAGAGCTGTGCACCAAATTATGTTCTTGAGCTCTTTGCAAATGACCCAGTACATATTGTCTGCTATTGTAGGTAATTACGATAATGGTTATCTCAGTAAGATGTAGATCTGTACAGAATATTTTGAAGTGGCTATTTTCAAAGATGTGCCTTCTGCCAAGCAATGGAAGAGACATCTGTTTGTGCTACTGAGCTACAAATCTGTACAAATGTTGTCATGAGGGCTGCTAATATATGTTACATGTTGAGACAGAGAATCTAATTTCTGAAGGGAAAGCAGGAAACCAGGGAGGTAAATCTCAAAAACAATGTGATTGAATCATTTACTGGTTGCATACCTACATCTGCATTAAAGGTGCATTCACATAGAACCGCTGCAAACAGTTTGGGAATTTTTAGGGAGGCTTCTCTATTTTCTGTGCTGCAGTAGCCCCACATAGCTCCTGGATTCTCTCCCCTAACCCCAGATCTTTTTAAAATTGTATTTCATTCCATATTTCCTAGTCCTCAGGTATAGAGTTCAGTCTTGGGATCAAGTTGCACATTTGACAACAAGGAATGCAACAGAATCTTTTGTCAATATTATTTGTCTCCATTCAACTCGCTTCCTGCAAAAATCTGTTCAGGCATGCCATACGGAAGACAGATGCAAAGTTTGCATTCCACTTTCCTGAATTCTCCTTACCCTCCTCTAGCACTTAACCCCACTTCAGGTGGCAACATTATGAGAACTTTTTCCCAAACACATTGAACTCAGTCCATGAAGATGATACAGTAAGAATGCATTGGAAAATCCAGCTGCCTCCCTACCTCATTTCTTAACTTCTGATGTAGTTCAACAGTTTTTCTTATTGTTGATCAGTGAATCTGCCATTCAAACTGTATCTATTTATTTATCTGAGTTATTTATTTGATTTGTATGCTGCCCTGTTAGCCATAAGGCTGTCCAGCAACATCCCCAAGAAAGTCTCCAACAATCTGAAAGATCCTTTGTCCACATCACCCTACCCAGAACCTTCTCATCTCAGTGGCAAGGACAAGGTGTCCAAGTCTATCATCATCATTGTCATCATCCTCGTCATCCCGCTCCTCCTCATCATCATCATCATCACCATGTTTATATCCCACCTTTTTTCTTCTTAGAAGGAACTCAGCAGCTTGCATAGCTCCATTTTATCCTTACAGCAGCAACTCTGAGAGGTAGCTTGGGCTGAGGCTGTGACTGGCCCAAAGTCACCCAGTGAGCTCCAAGGCCGAGTGGGGACTATACACTCTGGCTGTCCTGGGTCCCCACTCCAACAACCACATCTCACTGGCTGTAAGGACAAAGCTTGCGGTCTTTGTGGGAAGACACAGGAACTGAGCAACAGACCAGACTTAGGTTCAGACTGGTCTTCAACATCAGTAGAACACCTGGTCTGCTTTTGCAAAGAAAACCTGCAGACAGAGATAAACTAATGCAGTGTCTCATGCAGCATGTGCTATCCGCTCCCATAACAGTGAATCTCTTGTTTGTAGAGCTATGAAATTTAGTCTGATGAGGGAATGCCTGAGGCTTTGACTCCATAATTTCAGACATATTTCTTTAGCAAACAGGTCTGCAAAAGAGTTTACTGCAAAAGTAAATATAATTAATTAAGCAACAAGAAAATAAAGTGATTTTTTTTGGCAAAGGTAATTACAAAAGTTTCTTAAATATTTTAAGAGTAATACTGAAGAGGGGAGAAGGTATATTTCTCAAGTGATGCAATATATGCAGAATTGTTAGTGTGTTATGTATGATTTCTAGCATAATGTCAGTTGAAAAGACCACAACATGTTCTTTCTTCTCTTTAGGTCCCAAAGCAGTGGAAGCATACAGCCAAAAATTTCAAGTGCTATCCCACCAGGGGAAACTGTTGTTTTCTGCAGATGACAATGAAGTGGTTGTTGGAGCAGAGAGACTGAAAGTTTTAGGTAAACAATATTTTGATAAAGTTTCTCTCTATCTATCAACCTATTTTTATATTCTTTGAAAAATATTATAAGAGTTTTATATATAGAACTTGTGAAAATCATCCCTGTTGTCTTTAGGAAGACTTGATGAAATGTCATGGGATTTTAAGCTTTATTAGCTCATGACTTTCAAAACTGGTAGAGATTTCTAGATGGCCATGAACACAGTCAGTCAGCATCATACTTTGTTGCATTCTTAGAAATACTGGTGTAAGAATGTGAAATAGTATGAGCTAAAAGAAAAGGCCTACCTTATCACGGAGTATGGAATACGCAGAGGCACAGTTTAGGTCAACGATGGGCAGAAATGATGAGCAGTGCCGAAAAAACTCCTCAAGGAAGGCTTTTTCAAAATCGCCCTCTGTTCAAGGGAGCTTTCACCCTATATTAAAGTTAGGGGTTTGAACCAGGGTAGGGTTGGAGTTTGAAAAACGAGGTGTCCTGGCATGATTTTGATGGTTGGAATGTGTATAGAATGGGCAGAAATAGTCGTGCAGAAGAATCTCCTCAAGGAAGACTTTTCCAACATCGCCCTCTTTTCGATAAGAATTTCGCCCTGTATTAGGGTTAGGGATATGTGGTAGTGTAGAGTTAGGGTTAGCAAAATGAGATGCTCTGGCATGATTTTGATGGTTGGGAATTGTGTAGAATTGGCAGAAATGATGAGCAGTGCAGAAAAACCTCATAAGGGCAGGCTTTTTCAAAATTGCCCTGTTTTCAAGGGAACTCTCACTGTATATTAGAGTTAGGGGTGTGCACAAAGTTAGGGTGAGAAAAATGGGGGATCCTGGCATTATTTTGATGGTTGGAATGTGTTTAGAAGGGACAAAAATGTTGCGTTGTGCAAAAAAAAGCTGCTCAAGGAAGCCTTTTTCAAAATTGCCCTTTTCCATACAAATTTCACCCTATTTTAGGGTTAGGGGGTTGTACCGGGGTAGGGTTAGGGTCGGAAAAACAGGGAATCATGGAATGATTTTGATGGTTGGAATTTGTGTAGAATTGGCAGAAATGATGAGCAGTGCAGAAAAACCTCATCAGGGAAGGCTTTTTCAAAATTGCTGTCTTTTCAAGGGAAATCTCGTCATATATTAGAATTAGGGGTGTCCACCAGGGTAGGGTTGGGGTTAGAAAAATGTGGTGCCCGGACAGGATTTTGATGGTCGGAATGTGTTTTGAATGGGCAGGAATATTGAGCTGTGGAGAAAAAGCTGCTCAAGGAAGGCTTTTCCAAAATCGCCCCCTTTTCCATAGACATTTCGCCCTATTTTAGGGTTAGGGGTGTGTACCAGAGTAGGGTTAGGATTAGAAAAACAGGGGGTCCTGGTATGATTTTGATGGTTGGGATTTGTGTAGAATTGGCAGAAATGATGAGCAGTGCAGAAAAAGCTCCTCAAGGAAGGCTTCTTCAAAATCGTCCTCTGTTCAAGGGAGCTTTCGCCCTATATTAGGGTTATGGGCGTGCACCAGGGTAGGGTTAGGGTTAGTAAAATGAGGTGTTCTGGCATGACTTTGATGGTTGGAATGTGTTTAGAAGGGACAAAAATGTTGTGCTCAGCAGAAAAAGCTCCTCAAGGAAGGCTTTTTTAAAATTGCCCCCTTTTCCATAGAAATTTCGCCCTATTTTAGGGTTAGGGGTGAGTACCAGGGTAGGGTTAGGGTTAGAAAAATGTGGGGTCCTGGCATGATTTTGATGGTTGGAATGTGTTTAGATTGGGCAGAAATGATGTGCTGTGCAGAAGAAGCTCCTCAAGGAAGGCTTTTTGAAAATCGTCCTCTTTCCCTTAGACATTTTGCCCTATATTAGGATTTGGGGTGTGCACCATTATAGGGTTAGGGGTTTGAAAAATGAGGTGTTCAGGCATGATTTTGATGGATGGCATGTTTTTAGAATTGGCAGAAATGATGAGCTGTGTAGAAAAAGCTACTCGAGGAAGGCATTTTCCTAATCGCTCTGTGTTCAAGCAACTTTCGCCCTATATTAGGGTTAGGGCTGTGCACCAGGGTAGGGTTAGGGTTGCAAAAACTAGGCTTCCTGACATGGTCCTGATGGTTGGAATGTGTTTAGAATGGGCAGAAATGGTGAACTGTGCAGAACAAGCTACTTAAGGAAAGCTTTTTCAAGATCGCCCTCTTTTCAATGGGACTTTTGCTTTATATTAGGTTTGTGAGAGTGCACCAGGGTAGGGTTGGATCAGTGCTCTGGAACCTATGCTGCACATGTCATAGTGAGCACGCAGCACCCTCTTCATCAGCACTTGATCCGATCACCCCAGCATTGCCCCAGCAGCTGAGCATCGGATTACAGTGTACATAGGGGCCACGCTTATGCTCGGAAAGGTGTAGCAACGCCAGGCAATGACATCATGAGCCATGACTCATTAGCCACCTCTCTTCCGAGCTTTTGCATGGCCAGTCAATGCACTGTATAGTTGCTTGGACTTGCTTTGAGTTGTTTTTTTCCAACCTAAAGCCTCATTTTAGCATTGTTTTTTTCCAGTGCAAAGGTTTTATTGCATTGTTGGCACTTTGCGATAAATAAGTGATTTTTTGGTTGCAGTTTGCGTAGTCGGTCTCTAAAAGGTCTGCTATCATTCTCCTAGACTCTTAGTTTTACTCAGCTTCCATCCTGGAGTGCCTCCCACATCACTAAAGGTAATGCCAGAAGAAGCCCCTTAGTCATCTGGTTACCAGAAGAGTCCAGGTAGAAAACCACGCCTAACTGAAATATTTATTATTTATTTATTATTTATTTGGAATTTTTGTATGCCATCCCATTCTCATAAGCCTCGGGACGGCTTCTAACATGATAAATAAACAATCTTACAAATAAGTACATATAAAATCTGGATACATCCTGGCTAAAAAAATTTAAACCAATAAATAATATTAACAATTATTAACATATTGTTTAAATAAAAAGGTCTTGGCCTGGTGCCGAAACACAAATAAATATGCATCCTTTCTCCTTGCTGGCGGGTTTGTCTGTGCCTGAGATTCCAAGAAGACAGAAAAGAACTTAGTCTGTACTTAAAGAAATGTGTCTGGTGTGCTGTAGCTGGCCACAGAATTGTGGGAATGATTTCCCTGGGCATGTTGAACTCAGTCCAAAGAGATGACCCATTAAGAATGCATGGAGAAGTATTGGATAGCCACCCCAATCAAGTCTCCAGTAGTATTGGGTTCATTCTAAAGCAAGATCTGCAGGAGATAGGAGCTTTGTGGCTTCTCTTCTTTCTACAGGATGGGTACAGGCGGGTGAGCTGCAGTACTGCTTTTAAACACATGGTATTTCTTCATCAGTGAAGCCTAAGCCTTGCAGCTAAGCAATGATGTTGTGTCCTTGCAGTGCAAACAGTACTCCTGAACATGCCATTCAGCTTTCCTGCATCAAGACTATTTGCCAGGCTTTTTGCTGCATGCACATCAGTTTAGACCTGTGTTGTTTATTTAGGCAAGATTTGGTTACGGTTATGTAAAGCATTTAAAGTATCTTTCCCACTAAGTCCTTGCGGTCCTTTGTAACCTAAAGCTATAATATGTGCCATTGTTTTTAAATGGGTAGCATATTCATCCTGCATTGAATAGCTATACCTTGAACTAGCATGTTGAGTCACCTTTGCTAAGCTAGAAAGGCAGATGGGTGATCACATGTGAAAGTAGAGCAAGGTTTGTCTCAGTGGCCTTACAGGCCCCTTCCAACTCTGCTTCTATTCCACTCCACTCCGCTCCACTCTGTTCTATTCACTTCATGTTATAAACTGCATTCTAGTTCAGTTGATTCTAACTGTCTTGTTTATGTTTAAGTAAGTAGGTGTGGCCCCAGTCTGAATTAGAACCAGCAGCAGGGCCAGGTAGGGGGCTATTTAAGCCTTCCTACCTAGCCGTGTTTCCCACTTGCCTGATACAAACCCTCCTTATATGGGGGTTTAAAAGGGGAAAACAACTGCATTAGGCTTATACACTTAGTTGAAGTTAAGGATGTATGAACTTTGTTTAATCTTCTCTGTGCATTTCATGGTTTGTCAGGTATCTCTCTTTCCCACATCATTCATTGACAGAATCAATCCCTCCTCTTTAGAAAAATATGGAAAACAGTTTGCTTCAATTTACATGCCTTTTGCTGACATATAACATTTTGCATATTTTTTAGGCTCAGCATGCAATTAATCATCAAAGCATGCATGCATGCACACAAAGAATGCTACATAACAGAGTCTGAAGAAAGATCAATAAAACAATGTGAATTCTTTTTAAGAGAGATATGTTAGTGTGCTTTCCAGTAACTTTTGTATTTTCACATTTTTAAATTTGGACACAGTTTCAGAAACTTTAAAAACAATGGTCTGTGGAACCCATGCAACTTGGAAGATGCCAATCCATTGTGGCATCTGCTAAAAGTGGAATTGCTAGGAATCCAAAGTCATTTGAATCCACTTTGGGTTTTTCCAAAATCCCCTTTTTGGAGGTTAAAAAAAGAGGGGAGAATCATCTGCAAACTACATTTTTAACCCAGCGCATAGTTTAGCCCAAAGGTGGTTTGCCAAGTTACATCATCTGCATTACATGATGCCTCCTTATTCTCAGGCCAAATCACAATTAATTGTATCTTAACATGGGATATGACCAGTCCATAGATGCAGGCTGGTTGTCAAGATGCACATGGTAGGTATGTCATGAGCGGAGCCGGCTGGAGCCAGGGGTCAGACTAGATGGCCCGGGAGACCCCTTCTGACTCCTTGTGTTTCTATGTTTCTAAGATTAAACTGCATGCTATAACTGTATAATAAGTTCCTTTTGTTCTTTTTCTTTCTTTTTAATGAAGAGCATGCTGGGAGAGTGTGTGGAAGAGCAGAGGCAGAAACGGGAGAGAGGGATTTTTTTACCCTTTTCCTTGTTGCTCTTTCTTCATCCAAAATCACACTGTATCTTCCCAGGCTGCTTTCTGACCCAGGCAGTGTCCC